GATTATTGCTATTTTGAAATAAGTTTTTAAACATATTTTTCTTAAAACATAGAACAGCAAATAAAGAAGGGGAGGGTGGTTATGGTTCATTCTCACAATTCTACTGTCATCAACTTTATCACCAAGCAAGGGGGATCCAAGTCCAGATGTATGTCTTTTCAATCTCTTGCTTACCTGTACTAGGCCTATGATCACAACATGACAGTCCTGGCATATCATGTTCTCGCAGTTATGACTCTTTTGGCCGATCTCTTATGATGTCCCAACCAGGTTCTCCACAGAGTTGTTTCTTCGTTTTCAAGTATTTCTGTGGGTGTGTTCTCAACAGGGAACACCGCATATATGTACATGTTCCCACTCACTGGAATGCCAGATTTCCTTGGTTTTTTGGTCTCCAGTTCCTCAACCCTCGGCTCTGGGGGTGGATTCTTTCAGTCAAGATTGGAGAGGTCTTCACCTATATGTTTACCCTCAGTTTTGACTCTTCTTCTGGGGCTTTTCCCTTATCCAGACCACTCCTTGTTGTAATCTGCTGGTTGCTCCATATTGGCCCATTCAGACTTGGTTCCCTTTGTTCTGGCTCTTACTGGAGCAACAAACTCTGCCATTTTCTTTGTCCTGTTCCCTCCTCTGATAACTGTGATCAGATGTTTTTCATTCCATTGTCACCACACTCTATCTTTCCATGTGACTTTTGTTTGATCCCCTGTGTTAGCTCTGGGACTCTCCCCTTGTGTCTTTCCTTTGTACCATTTGCCTTTCCTCTTTGTCTGTGTACCAGTGGCTTCTGACTTTGGTCTATTTGCTATGGCTTCTGACCATCTTGTTCTTCACGTGTCCCAGTTCTTCATCTGGTTGTTTGATTAGTGTTTGTCTGTTTCAACTGTTGCACTTTATAGAACTGCCCTGTTAAAAACATTTTGTTCTCCCACTTCCAGAAAGGCTTCTTTTCCCCAGTTTCTCCCTTTTCATTCCTTTCATCTGGACCATCTGCCATGTTCCTTTGTTTCGCTGGATTGGGATCTTAAGGTTGTTCTTCATGCCCTGTCCAGTTCACCCTTTGCACCTATTGCAATTTGTTCCTTGTGCCATTTTTCCCCTTAAGACTTTATATATTTATTAGTTTTATTTTATTGACCTTTCAGCTGTGACTAACTAATATTACAGTATTTGCAATGACATGGTGCATGTACACTCATGTTAGTGTATCCAAGAATATAAAACTAGCTTTTACAAAGTGACCTGTCTTGGCTGTGTTTTAGTGAACCAGTATTTTGTAAAATATAGTGGCATTTTGGATATTATACATTATATATGTATATACATTATTACTATTTGCAAATAAGTTCTTAATTTTCAGTTATTTTTCTTAAAACGTAGAACAGTAAACAAAGATGTATAGAAAATAATTATCTCTTCTAGTTATGAACTTTGTACTCATTTGCTGCTTGCTGTAAGTTGCTAAGCCTTATCAAATTTTGCATGTGGTGGATGTAAAATGAAATATCTTTTTTTAGGTTTTATATATGCAATTTGAAATAAAAAAAACATCATAAATTACTGTATTAATACCATAGAATTCTACTATAATTTATCAAGCTTTGGATCTAAAAAAATATGATTTTTTGAGCTCACTAGTGCTTTACCTTACTGCTTGGAATCTAGCATGAAAGAAAGAGTACCCATGTAAATACTTTGCAGAAGCTGAGAAAACCACTAGGTGGACATTCTGAGCTTTCGATTGGTTATACACACACACATCATTGGGCGAAGTAGGTGTACATAAGTAAGTATTTTCAAAAAATGGAAGGGGGGCACCTTGGTTGATTCAATAAATTTATTAATATCTCAGAAAATAGAAATGATAGGAGGTTATCATAGATTCAGCCTTGTTAATATTGGTAATTTTAGTATCTAATTCAGTGGTCGGCAACCTTTTTTGATCGCGGGTCAATTATTTTTTTTTGAAAAATTTAGCATTGTGTTGGGTCAGTGATAATCATATAATTATTAACATCAGTAAATGTATTTTAAATATGTATGTTTATTTACATACAAAAAAATTAATATTTCGACCATTTTGATATTTTTCCCTGAAATTGATCTTAAAATTCTCCGTACCCCCCGACTCTTTCCCATCTTTCCTTTAATATCGTTGTTCTTCTCACATAGCCGAGAAACTTGAACTGAACAATGATTGTGCCCTTACGGGGTTGCAATGGTGAAGCCAACTTTTGGCG